GTTGCTTTTATAAGGTCATGAGATTGTTGTGTCCTGTGTCCCACTGGCATCACATCCACCAAACTCTACTGACATATCTCTGTCTGTTATCTTGTTGTAATTTCTTTCTTTCTTTCTTTCTTTCTTTTTGTTCTTTCTTTCTTTCGTTTTTCTTTCTGTCGTTCTTTCTTAATTTCTCTCTCTCTCTCTCTCTCTCTCTCTCTCTGTCTCTCTCTCTCTCTCTCTCTCTCTCTCTCTCTCTCTCTCTCTCTCTCTCTCTCTTTCGTTCTTTCTTTATTTTCTTCTTTGTGTATTTATTTATTCATTTATTTATTTATTTATTTGGTGTCCATGTACAGATGCAGGCCAGCAGAAAGAGGTTCCAGATGATCGTCATGTTGAAACTGTCCAGAATCTCCATATGGATGTCCCCATTGCTGATGTATCTGTAGAAGACATTATATATGGAGACCTAAAGGATTTTATCTCACAAGAACTTCGGAAAATGTGCGGTTTTGATGGAAACGGGTAAGACTCGAGTCTGGATAGAATAGCTGTATAGACGAACTAAAAAAACAACAACATATAATATAGTAACAAAAAGTCGTTTTGTGACAATGGTAAGATATCTCATCGGGGTTTTGTCTTTAGGGTCTAAGATATGAATGAAGTTGTGTTGAGATACCATTTAAATTAATCAAGGCAAAATGCCGTAGATATAGAGTAAAGATGTTCTTTTTCTTGGGTTAAAAAGTGTTAAAACCTTGTGTGAGGCAAAGTGAAAGGGTTCAGAAGCACCAGTCGATAGCTCGCAGAAAGGTGAACAATGATTGGATAAGAATCTCTCTTTTAAGGTTCAACTGAAGTTCAGTTAACCGTGGCTTAAGGTGAGATCTTGCTAACTTCGTATGACTAAAAATAGTAACTACATAGAAGCAGATCTGAAATTTGAAAAAAAAAAATCGAAACTAATTTATCCTTTAGAAACTGATCAATTCATAGACCAGGTGTCCTCAGAAAAAGAAAGCGGGAGATGCAGTGATCTTTGTGGTTGTGTGTTTCTAATTTTTAAATCCTTGACTGTTTTGTTTCGTTTTCTTTGCTATATTATGTATATCATGGCGTGCTTATGGCTTTCTTTTGATGCACAGTGCGTAGAGCAATATTTCAATTGTGCACCTATATGTGTGGGTGTAGTTTTATAGGGGGAGGGAGGGAGGTGATATTCCATTACCCGTCTTAAACTGTAAATTTTGTATAACAATCAACAATGTTATTTTATGAGATACCATAAATTTATTTCATAATTCATATCAATATGTGGTATATAATTATTGAGAATAGCAACTGAACACCTGTCAAACAATCATCTTTACAAAGGGGGTTGGTGAACTATTTTGTGTGGTCTTGTACTGTCATTAAAGAAAAAAAAGTACATGCAGTTTTATTTTAGCCAGTTCACAGTGAAAGGTCTCCATTATTTATTTATTCTACTCACACGGAAGAGTAATTTTAGTCTAGTTTCTTTGAAGTACTAAAAGGGAATGCATTGTGTTCGTAAACAGATATTTGACTTTTGAAATTTAATTTGTTTAAACCCTGTAATTTTAACAAATTTTATGTTCTTTGGATGTTGTGTGGATGCTTGAGTTTGGCTCTGTTTTCTGTGCAGGTCAAACGGTGACAGAGAGGATGACGTATTCAATATGGAGGCAGATTCCAGCAATGTGGTGTAGGAGGAGAAACTTATTGTCCAGCTGGGATTAAGGAGGACTCGGAGGATGTTAGGAGAAGACGAAGGAAGGGCATGGGGAAGTAGGAGGAGGAGAAACGCTGTGCTTTTGGAGGACATGCTGAAGAGATAGGACTCTCCGACGAAATGCTGGGAAGGAAAAAACACGAACAGAAAGACATGTTGCTCAGTTTGTGATTGGATTCAGTGGCTCTTGTGCTGATGTGTTTGGTTTTCGAGGTTATGCAGGTGAAGCAGTAATAGGCCTATAGATGAAAGCAGAAAACGCTGACTCAGCGCCAGGTTCTTCCGCTGGTGTTTATGGAATCCAAAAACGACAAGATGACAGTGTTCTGTTTGGGAATTTGACCTACCCCCAACCCACCCACAGAAAAAAACCTCAACAAGCCAAGTGTTTGTTTTTCTAAGGTTTGTGTGCAGATATTGTGTTGGTGAATTTGTAATTCAGACAGCTTCTGTGATATTGTTCAGACTTAAGCCTAAAGAACAGCTTTAGAAATGGATGGAAAGTGGAAAAACAGTAGGGCCACTGGAGATTTTCTTGACATGCAGGTTCATGTCAAGAAATTGTGCTGATATGTTTGAAATTCAAGGACAATAGTGTAAAATTGTTCAGATTGTGTCCACAAACCTCTCCATAGTCTGTCCATTGTCAGCTCCGTCACCGTTGTCTGTCTGTGTGCAGTGACGTCATCGTTGTCTGTGTGTGTGCAGTGACGTCACCGTTTTCTGTGTGCAGTGGTGTCGTTGCGTCATCCTGTGAGTGTGTTTGTGTGTATGAGTATGTTTGTGTGTATGAGTATGTGTGTGTGTCTGTGAGTGTGTGTGTCTGTGAGTGTGTGTGTGTGTGCGTGTGTCTGAGAGTGTGTGTGTATGTGTGTGAGTGTGTTTGTGTGTATGAGTGTGTGTGTGTGTGTGTCTGTGAGTGTGTGTCTGTGAGTGTGTGTGTGTGTGTCTGTGAGTGTGTGTGTGTGTGTCTATGAGAGTGTGAGTGTGTGTGTGTCTGTGAGTGTGTGTGTGTGTATGTGAGTGTGTTTGTGTGTGTGTGTCTGTGAGTGTGTGTGTGTGTGTGTCTGTCTTTGAGTGTGTGTGTGTGTGTCTGTGAGTGTGTGTGTGTGTGTGTGTGTGTGTGTGTGTGTCCAGTGACTGTGTCTCCCTCTACCCCCACAGCTACCAGGAAGTTCTAGAAGAGTACGAGGCTGCGTCGTTTGGCGACCCGGTGTTTGGCCTGTACGTCTTACTGCCGCTCCAGCAACGACACGGGGCCGACCTACGCCGCGCTCTGTGGGGGGAGAGAAGCAAGATACTGAGGTCGCTGAGGGTACCGCTATCAGAGGTACACACGTGTGTTGTGTGTGACATGTGTGTTGTGTGTGACACGTGTGTTGTGTGTGACAGAGGTAGACACGTGTGTTGAGTGTGACAGAGGTACACACGTGTGTTGTGTGTGACACGTGTGTTGTGTGTGACAGAGGTACACACGTGTGTTGTGTGTGACAGAGGTAGACACGTGTGTTGTGTGTGACACGTGTGTTGAGTGTGACAGAGGTACACACGTGTGTTGTGTGTGACACGTGTGTTGTGTGTGACAGAGGTACACACGTGTGTTGTGTGTGACAGAGGTAGACACGTGTGTTGTGTGTGACACGTGTGTTGAGTGTGACAGAGGTACACACGTGTGTTGTGTGTGACACGTGTGTTGAGTGTGACACGTGTGTTGAGTGTGACAGAGGTACACACGTGTGTTGTGTGTGACACGTGTGTTGAGTGTGACAGAGGTACACACGTGTGTTGTGTGTGACACGTGTGTTGAGTGTGACAGAGGTACACACGTGTGTTGTGTGTGACACGTGTGTTGAGTGTGACAGAGGTACACACGTGTGTTGTGTGTGACACGTGTGTTGAGTGTGACAGAGGTACACACGTGTGTTGTGTGTGACACGTGTGTTGAGTGTGACAGAGGTACACACGTGTGTTGTGTGTGACACGTGTGTTGAGTGTGACAGAGGTAGACACGTGTGTTGAGTGTGACACGTGTGTTGAGTGTGACAGAGGTACACACGTGTGTTGTGTGTGACACGGGTGTTGTTTGTGACAGAGATAGACACGTGTGTTGTGTGTGACAGAGGTAGACACGTGTGTTGTATGTGACAGAGGTAGACACGTGTGTTGTGTGTGACAGAGGTAGACACGTGTGTTGTATGTGACAGGTGTGTTGTGTGTGACACATGTGTTGTTTGTGACAGAGATAGACACGTGTGTTGTGTGTGGCAGAGGTAGAACGTGTGTTGTATGTGGAGAGGTAGACACGTGTGTTGTGTGTGGCAGAGGTAGCACGTGTGTTGTGTGTGAAAAGGTGCCACGTGTGTTGTGTGGGACAGTGTGTTGGTGTGATAGAGGTGCACACGTGTGTTGGGTGTGATAGAATGCACACGTGTGAGGTGTGGGACAGAGGTAAACACTGGGTTGGTGTGTGAAAAAATCCATTGGGTCAATCTTTGTGTCAACTTTTCAGTTGCCTGATCCCGGTGGAGAACTTCCT